GGACAGGGGCAGACCCCCCCCCCTCCCCCTGCTGGCCACTCTTCTGATACAACGCAGGATACAGTTGGCCTTTGGATTAGGTCATCTCAAGCGACGGGCTGAATTACATCAACCTTTTAGGAGGACACAACAATGAGAAAGACCAGTGCTTCCCAAATCCATATGAAGAAACGACTTACTAGTGTTGCAGATCGTACAGCTCTTGCAGAAGTTATGGTTGTGCTCACTACTGAAGTACTCGTCTTGACAAGGGGCACAGACTGTGTCTGTTGTTGCAGTGCAGCGGCTTCTCATTCTTTCACCTAAAACAAAGACCACTTAGAAAGAGGAACTGATTCTTATCGGAAGGAAACTCTTCATGGGTTATGAAATGAAACTTTTTCATGTGTTAGAATGAAAAAGCGCCCCAAAAGCGACAGTTCCACTTACAACTCCGGCTGAAAACACTCAGCAGATTTAGACATGCCAGAACCCCTAAAAGTTTTGCCCCATTGCGCCACTGCAAATTTAGCAGCTAAAAAGGGCGAGCAGAGGCCTAATGACTTGCTGAGAGCTGAGGCAATGCCCCAAATGATTCTCCCAGTGGATTCCAAATACCACTCCTCCAGACCACCTTTTCACAGGATTTAGACATCACAGTGGCAGCCAATGCCTGTTAGGAGAAAAGGCAGATTTTTAGCACAGCAATAGGCCTGATCTTTGGTGTAATACAAAGGCTTTATGACAGATCCTGCCTTCCCTTATAAGAGAAATCATGCAACTCCCAAAGTAATCCCAAACATGGGATTCTGAAAACTGGCAATGGACTGCTCAGGTTTGCGGAAAGAAAATTCGTTAAGCAGCCAAGAATAAGTGTATGTAGTAACTTTCTGTTGGCATTTTAAGAGCCCATTGGGCATGAAAGAACACAGTTATATTTTGATATGCATCCGTATTGGCCCCCAAGAACATCAAAAATGTCACATTTCACAAACAGCGAGACACCACACAAGGTGTAAGGAAGGCACTTGGTACTATTCCAACACTATGTGTGTACCACGCATGGCATTTAGAAACAAGCTCCGAGTGCTTGCACCCACGAATTCCAACCCGTTGGACACTGTACTCACATAGGAGTTCAGACCACTCTGCTAGGATGACAAGGTTTGTGAGTAGAGCACCTCGCCCAAACTAAAACAGCAAGTTAAGAGTGGATTTTGGAGGAGTCAGACAAGTTTCTTCTATCTCGCTAGCTTCTCTCCACGCAGCACTGACGGCAGGAACTATAGACAGCTTTAATGACTAGGGGTTTTTAGCTGAACTTAAATATGTCCCTATTCTCACAGGGTGTTTCGTTCTTCCTGGTTCTCCATTTGCCCACTCTGTAGGTGAACAATGAGCACCAAGTCTCTTGCTCGCTCTAGTTTTCTTCACATTTTATTGAGTGCTATCAGTGGCAAAATACAGATTTTTAGTGACGACAGCATACACAATACGCTTCTCCATTTTTACCATCTACGCTACCACTATAGCTCAGCTCACAAAGAAATGTTTCCCCATCAGCAGCAGATTTGCTAATGATACAAAAAATTTGGTAAGAGTTCGTACAGCGTAAGAAGGAACAAAAAACTTTGAAGCCAGGATTAGCTGTATCTGCACACAAGAAAGCCCTTCTTTAAACTGAGAAACACCCAGATTTAAATAGTTTTTGAGAATAATGCAAAACTGCCTTAAGTTTTAGACTAAACGTTGAATTTATTCCAATTGGCATATTTAAAGATAACTACTCCACCAGTTTACACCACATCCATTTTGTGTAGTAGGTGTAATTATGAAAAGAGAAGGTAACTATTCTGGAAGATGCACATAAAAACGTATGATTTTAAGCTGCAACTGCATTTACAGACATGACCTACAGTCCCCTCTAGGCACAGAGATGTACCCTTCTTCTAATACTGACTGTACTAAAAATAATACCTTCTGTTAAGGGGATTGTCCCTGGACAGCAATAATAAATGTTAATTGTTGTTATTCTTCATCACTAAGTCATTTCTATAATGAAATCCCAACTATTAAAGTATTTGAGGTTTGATATACTGCATTTGTGCTTAATACTGCATTGCCATCAGAGATATTCAGATTGGGGAAAAAAGCACACATATGCATACAATCCCCAGATTTAGACTCATTCAGTTTTCACAATAAGCAAGGAGGAATAAAGACATTTCCTGTCAAGTTATGCTTTGCTTTGTGAATAAAGCATATCTTTTTCCTTAAAAAAAAAAAAAATCCCAAATCTTAAGCAGTATAAATCTTGCAACAAAAGAAAGCTTAAAAAACCCCATCTTCAGGAATTAAATTTATTAGCTAAAGTTTTCCTTTATCAGGCAGGACTTCTTTATGTGATGGGTAAAGGACACTGCCATCTTTTCTCAGCTAATACTCCCAAAATGAAAAGGCACCAGACTGACACGTTAAGGAAGCTGAGCCACACAAAAAGAAGTTGAAGATGCAGCTCTTTCAAAGAGGAGGATTCCTAAATTTAATATAATCTTTGTCAGTCTAGACTGATACAACAGCCTGCTTGTGAAATGCCTTTCCTCCACGTTATGCTACATGTGAGCAGCATTTCCATCAAGCTGTTTTCTACCACCTGAGGTTATTAATGGACAGATATTACATCATGCAAGTATAACCAACACCCAGCAAAAATGACTTACCAGGGGCGCAGTCCTTGCAGCATTTTTCACCAAAAGGATACTGATGTTCTCTGCATCTCAATCCCACGCAATGGCTAACAGTGACTGCCAGCAGCAAGGACAGGACAGCAGAACAACACGAGCGAAAACCTACAGCTACCATAACGCAGCCCTACCGTCCTGGCAAAATTCTGATGGTGGCAAACTCTTGGAGAAGTGATTCTCAGCTGCTGGTGACCAGAACAAATTCATGTCAGTTGCTGGGAAATTCCCAGCATCAACTCCACGCCCCCATCCTTTCTCCCACACCCCACAAACCTATTTTTTTTTGCAGTTAACAACTGAAATACTCATAGGCAGAAAGGCAGCGTGCTGAAAAGCGTTATGAAAAGATTTCTATTCATAGCCTTGAAAGAGCACCTCCAGACAGGTACGTACCCCTCGACACAGTATTAAAGCTCAGGTTGAATGCCAGGAGAACTAGAACAGGTGATCCTTGTCATTGTAAAGAGGAGTATTAAAGTAATGCAGCGGTGACGCCTGAAAACCTTTACGGATGAGACCCATAGGTAAAATGAAACATAGCCTACAGAGCCTTGCTCCTTAAAAGGCGAAGCAGAGATTCTCTCCCCTCGCTCTCATGGTACCAGCAGACCCGTGACTTTTACTGCCGCGCAAAAAAAACGTCGTTAATGCATTTTTCGGGGCGAGCGCGGAATCACAGGTCATCACGCACCTTGGCACTGCCCTCGGGAGCTAGCAAACGCTCCGGATGAGAAGCGTTTGCAGTCTCCATTTCGAGTCTTAACATCAGAATCCCTCCACTGCCACCGAAGAAAAGCAAGCTCCAGACTCCAGGAGAGAGACTTTGCGTTATTCCTGCCATTTGCTCCCATGGAAATAAAAGCTTCCAGCAGAAGTGTGCTCAATGAAAGCAAAGGATGCAATATTCAAGTACCAGCTACTTCTAATGCCTATTTTGTTCCACAGAAGCATGTTAACTCTAGAAGCCAAACCCCCGAAGGCTTCTCCATCCAGCCACGCAGGGCTGAACAGCACGCTGGCATTGCAGTCCTGCCCTCACCTAGCACAAGCATGTAGAGAAGAGAGGAAAAAAAAAAAAAAAGAAGATCCCACTAGGAATGGGAGGTTTAACTTTCCAGGCTCACTATTAGAATTTTACTAATTTGATCTTAGTCATCTAGGATCTTAATTTTAGGTCTTCCAGTCCTGAAGAGGCTTGAGCAACTCTTATGCAAAGGCTCGAGTGAAAAAAGGACATCCTACAGTAATCAAAGATGTTTTATTTACATTAGTTAAAAATCACAGCCAGACTTCCCAGACAAAGCAGATCTAGGGTCAACTTACACCTAAACGCAAAGAGAATTGATTGGAAGAGAAGTACGTTTGGAATCCTGATTCCCCTGCTGTATCTGGGAGGGCTTAACAGCAGAACCATGACATGATTTACCCAGAATTGCTGCTTTTGTTTCTTTTTTAAATGTCTTAAGACTGTTTAAGAATGGAAGGGGAGATAAAAGTGAGGTAAACAGTAACTGGTTTTCTACTTCTCCTATTTTCCAAGCACTGGGGAGAATAACCACTATGGCAAAGAATACCTTAAAGCCATTCTTTCCAAAAGGGAGCAAAGCTGAGAGAGCAAGCAGACCCAAATACCAGCAGAACTTCAGCTACCTTCACACCCCGTACCTGCAGGCAGGAAACATCCAAATCTCTTCCCACTGTATTACTGTATTGTTATTCCCACACTCGATGCCATTTAAGTGGCTTGAGGCCTCATGACTCAGTCATTCCCTCAACAATATTTAACCAGATTCCACCCCCCTCAGTTCTCTTTCACAAACAGGAGACTTTACCTATTCAGTAAGGCAATTGTTATGCAGTAAGAAACTGAAAACGCTAACTCCTACGATGTTCACAATCAAGGTAAGGTGGAAATTTTGCTGCATATATTTAAATTGAAAACTCCCAAAATACCAGAGCAGTGATGATGAAGCATTGATATTCTTGTGAAGGATATTTTAATACAAATTAAATGCTCATTTAATAAAAGCAGTTAGCACACAAAGTTCATGCACCATCTTGAAAATTCAACTTTTATGTATGGCATCCCTATTTGTCACTAGGTTTGATATTGCCAAATTGCTTTACGTGGCCACATCGTGCAAGTAAATAAAACCAGGGGAGAACACAACGATTATGCTACAGCATTTTCCATCTAGCACACTCCTTAGCTCTTTTTTCACCAATGCAAATTAACCTCTTCCAAATGCTGTTTGGTATTGCTGTGACAATCGCATTCACCTCAGGCTGTTCCCAAAAAACAGCCTGGGTGCAGCTATTCTGGTTGTAGGAGGAGAGCAGAGCTTCAGAGTGGTGAGTTGAGCCACACTGAGTCAGAAATAAGACCCTGTTCTGCTTTTATTTCATACACATGTACCGTTTTTTACTACAGGTGCTTATCCTAGATATTCTATACAAGCTTTTGAATTCTGGAAAGCTGAAAGATGCCCATGAGATAGCAGCACTCAGATACCAAGTCCTGTTAACAGTAGGCAGATTTCTTGTGGTGTACATGAAAAAAAACCCAAGGAA